TGTCTCGCGGTTAGTATCATGGTTGCTAGGCAACCTGAACAGCGCGACGAAGCGTATACCGTCCCATTTCACAAGCCTCTCACTTCCGCACTTCTCGTACTCATAGTACGCACCGTACGTAGTACGCGTAGTGCGCGTACTTCAAGCGTGCAGACCCTGAATTGGGACAAAGCCCCTGACTGTGACTATGGTGAGGAAAACAGACGACCTGACAATGACACACTGAAAACAGAGGACTTAAACACAGAGGAGATGATTAGGGGAAGAGGAAACACACGAAACAGCTGACATACATGAACCTAATGACAGGACAGGGGAGAGTACAACTAAGCACATGAACACAGAACACAAGACCTTTTACAAAATAAAACAGGAAACTAGACATGACACAAGGGGAATCTGATAAACCATGAACTTAACTGCAAACTAGGCCTGACCGAATAACTAGATAACTGAAAAGAAACTGGAATACAGATGAAATAACAAAATAACAAGAAACTCAAAAAACACTGGATCGCATGACCCAGGACCATGACACACTCGCACAGCCCTCCTCACCGCTGTCTGTCTCACTCATAATGAAACATTTGATTTCACTGTGGACAAAAATGAATAAAATATTTTAAAAAATCAACGTCAGCTCTAAATGGTAAAGAGCTGGAGACATTTTTGTTAAATCAGAAACTTTATTAAGTGCACATTTCTCATTTTATTGTACAAAGAACAGTAAACAAATACAGCAAGCAAATAAGCAAACAAATACAACTCAACTATAAATTCAAACCAAGGTTATAGTACACTTAAACTATATTACAATGTAAAACTACTGGGCTTTGAAAAAAATAATTCCAGTTTACTGAAATCAATAAAAAAAATTAAAACAAAGCTTTCCTGATGAGGTTCTGTTGAATATGTTTATTGAGAGTTGGGATGTCATAAAGTATATTTTCTATTATAACATTTGTTCTACAATTTAATGATAATTAAATAATAATTGAATAATAATTAAAAGGACTAAAACGAATGAAAACTGAATTGCCATAAAATATTTAACAATAAAAACTAAACTGAAACAAGCAAACCTACTCTAATTTATGTTGAACCAATTAAAAAAAGAAAATTCACAATGAAATAGAAACCACTTTACACTTCATATTACACTACAAACTTCATTATTACTGTGGCTCTGATATAAAATTCTGTTGTTTAGTGTGAAAACAAAACAAAAGTTAATATTTTAGTAGCTTGAAAAACAAT